GCATATATAAAATTCAAGAAACTCAGTAAAATCATTTACTGTAAGAGATAATTTGTTGACAGTAGTTCAATTGCGAAGGTATGCAACGACCACTTTGCCTCTGTGTACACCCCAAATGACAGCCTCCTTCCCAAGATGTCGTTAAATTCGCTCAAGGTACCACTGCAGACATACAATCAGCGGAGGAATGGATTTTTGCCGCGTTACTAAATTTAGATACAAAAAGTATTGTGGTCCAGATAACATTCATATATATATACATATTAAAGGCAGGAAGAGTGGACTTGTAAATTTATCCATCCATAAGATGGGAATAAACATGATGTATCGAATTATTGACCAGTATCATTGCTTTGCTGGTGTAGCAAGGTGTTACAGAATTTTTATTTAGTCACCTCATGTCATATTTTGAAACTGATAACTTTTTATCAGAGAGCCAGCATAATTTTCGGCGTGGTAACTCAACGGCAACTCAGCTCCTTTATACTGCACATGAACTTATTAAAGTCATTGATAAGTATGGGTCTTCAGATGTAGTATTCCTGGGCCTCTAAACTCGTCAAACACAAAGTTGGAGCCGAAAGTTCACGTAGCGCGCCGATTGGACGCCGGCGAAAAAAGCGCGAAGTCATCGTCGAGATAATCCTACCAGTGCGCTCCGTAAACTCTAGCCCCAACTTTGTGCTTGACGAGTTTAGAGCCCCCGAACCTCGCGAAGGCCCTTGACCGCCTGTCACAAAACAGACTGCTTATCAAACAAAGAGTTATACTAAGAAACGAACAGCTTCTGCTATGGTTGAACTCTTGCTTGATCAACCGCCATAATTTCGTCGAAGTAGATGGGGCTTGTTCCCCAACTGAACCAGTTATCTCAAGCGTTCAACATGGATCAGTGTTGGGTCCACTACTCTTTCTTGTTTTTATAAACGATTTGACGGTTGACGAGAGCATACGTGGCTCGTTTTTTGTAGATAACTATGGTGCTTTTCACTGAAAGGACATAATGAATTGCTTAAGCTAAACAAGTGTTTGTGTTCAATTTCTTCGAAGGTGTAGTGAGTGGCAAATTTTGCTAATCGGCTCGAAATGTGTACAAATGAGAGTAACCCGTAAAAGTTCACGCTAAGAATTCACCTACTGTTTACAAAACTCCCCTTTACAAAAGGTCCATGAATTGAAGTTCTTGGGCCCCGTAATCTCTTCTGATCTTAGTTGGAAGAGCCAGATATCCTGGATTGTTCAGAAGCCACCAGCAAAGCTCTGGGTATCTAAACTCGTCAAACACAAAGTTGAAGCTGAAGTTGACGGTGCGCACCAATTAAACTATCCCGACGATGACTTCGCGCTTTTGTCGCTGACGCCCAATCGGTGAGCTCCGCGAACTTCCAGCTCAAACCTTGTGTTTGTCGAGTTTAGGGCCCCAGGTCACTGAAAAGGAGGATGAAACACCGTACCCCTACAACGAAGCTTGCAAATTACACGACAGTCATACGACCTGTTTTAGAGTATGCAGATGTTGTTTGGGACCCTGCAACTAAGCTTAACATAGCAGTACTCGAGGGGTTCAGAAAAAAAGATTTCGCTGGCTCGCGTCTCCTCCTCTCTTTCAGAGTCTATCCACATAAAAGGAGCTCCTAGCTGTACGGACAAATTTCTACATGCCAAAAGCTTTTCGGCATTTTGGTGCAGGCGAATTCTCGTTACCTTTCGCTTCGCGATGTAGCGTCGCAGGTGCAGCCCTGGTTTATGGCCAAACATCTAGTTTTAAATAGCGGCTCAGCTGCAATTTGTAAGCCATTTATAAACAGCTCAGTAAAAAAAAAAAAAAAAAAATATATATACATATATATATAGCAATTTTCACGACGAAATAAGTAAAACAACAAAAACCTAACATAGTATACTTTTCGTTTCTGTGCGTAGCTATGTTATCAAGGAAAAAACAAGTGATTTGCGGGATAGCGACCTCTGGTAGGGTCGACAGTAAACTGTTCTACCAGGTGCTCACCCACTCAATTGCTACACTCGTTCTTTGCCCTCTTATTATTGCGCAGATAACGATAGAGTTTGTTATTTCCCGCCTAGTTACTTCTTAACAGCGCTGCGCGACTGCAAGCAACGCAGCGTCAAAACTCAGTTTCTCATTTTGTAGCAGACCATTAATGGTGAGTCACATCTGTAACCGTTCTACCTTCAAATAACAAAAATGGTAATGTGTTACAAAGGGTTAGGTCATAGATACCAACACATATTTACCTCCTTGTGTGATGAATGTCGTACATCCATTCTGGGCGCTTGAGTGTGTGCGTGTGTGTGTTGCGCGTTATTCAACCACCGAGTTCACTGAGTCACTCATTGAGCGTAGGAAGCATGATCAAGTTAAATGTCATTCCGATTGTTATTGTGCAGATGACGTTAAGTCAAACTGTCATTCGCTGAATGCTCTCGATAGATGGCTCCCTTCGCTTGTTCTGTAGGAAAGTATACGCTCAGTCATATTGGGGTTCTGATACGTAACCTTTAGATAATAATCTAATATTCGATGTCTGTACCGTAAGCAAGGCTTTATTACAGAAACCAAAGAGAAGCGAACATTCTATAAGCAACCTCATTTTCCTGATCAACGATCTACCAACGTAATGAGCAAAACAAATATGCGTCGGTCGCACGTTTTAGCCGATGTAAACTTAAGAACGAATGCTGCAGCTCCCGCAATTCTTCGGCTTTTATTCTAGAAGGACATTGTTCATTCCTGTGTAGTTCAGAACAAAGGTAGTGGCTACTGGGCTCGCGCCTCTACACAAAACTACCTTTGTAACGCTGCAATAAAGTAGAAGTTTTCAGTTAATTTCTATAATCCAACATTTTAACGCAGAATGTCTTCATGGGTTAGATTTCACGAGAAAGCCGTTCCGCTGGAGTGTGACAAAAGAGACGCAGACATGTATAACATAAAGCATACAGAGCCCATAGCATGCAATGCGTAAACATCTAGAGCGCTTCAAAGGTATACTTAAACATAATTATTCATTCGTGATCATAATTGGGTACGATTAATTGTAACAAGCCTGATTTATTAAGCGACTTAGATGAAAACGAACAGCGGATCGTGCTCTTCGCAGTACGACGTGTTTTATCGATTTATGTATTTAATTTGCATGCCTTTACAAATACTGTAGGCAGCAGCGCTGCCCAAACAGGGGAGGGTTACAAAAGTTGTGATAGCAGGAGGTTTTTTTTTTAAATGTGTCAAATATGTTTTGAGCCCACAGGAAGGATATGAAACAAGTGCAAGCAGCTGGAGTAACGGTGGCTCACAGGAGCGTGCGGTGTGGCTCACGGGATCTCATGACGTCATGGGACGGATCATAACTAAGGCTTGGCGTTATCGGTTTTCATCCTTTACTAGTTTGAGCGTCATGCTTTGTACGTTTTATTAAATTTCTCATTACTTTTTTGCGCCGGCAACGACCCTTCGGAACATCATATATTTTACGAATATCATATATCACTTGGGAATGAAACGCAATTTTAAAACGCCGGAATGTACGGCACCGATATTGGAAGCTCGAAATCTATTGAACGCCAAAGATTTTATTCTTTATAGGTCTGTTTAATTCGGCTAGAAAATTTTAAACTAGTTCTGTCTGAGGTCAGGGGACTGCCGGAGTCACACAGCGGCGGCGAAGAACGTGTGCAGCCACCGCGTTAGGACTGGCGCTGTGATTGGCTTCCGGAGCGGAAGCGCACGGTGAGGTCTGCATCTGGTCGCGCTTGTTTCTCCACGCCACGTCGCATGCTATATTAAATTCTTCGCAGTTTAATGAGCTCCTTCGCGCTTTGTTTAGTTTTAAAGTATATAGATGAAATATTTTCTGTCAACGTTTCTTTATTCAGCACGTTTTCAGCACGAAATGTGTTCTTGTCTACATTTTTAACGGTTACCGTCTATTTCATATCGTTTCCATAACCGTTCGTGTCGTTCAACTGCGCCACGCTAGAATTAAAATTCCTATAGCAATATAGTATACTAATTTTAAGTCTCTCGAGTTTATCATTAGAATTGATACGCGGCATCAAGATGATTCCACGTCGGGTGTTACTGGCGTCAGAGCGCGGTAGCGCTCCCTTCAAGAACGAATGGCCTCACAAAAGCTTCGCATTAGCCAAAACAGTTATCTACCTTCGCTTGGAAGTCAAGCTGAAGCGTTCATTCTTATTCGCAAAAAAGATACGTGTGGAACTACAAAGCCAATGCCAATTATCGTTTTTTATTTTATTTTTAGGTTTGTTAGTGCGCGGACACAAATACCAGTGGACAAAGCTCGTAGTACTATTATTCTCAGCTACGGGTAAATGCGACTGCCAATGTACTAAATCGCAGACCTGTGCAATGTATCGTAGTCGTCAGTCTGCATCCACGAGCTACTGCAGGTGGGGGCTATCAAGAGAAATACTTGTTCTGCGTCTTTTAATAAGAATATCAACATAGCACCACGTATCATCAAAATGAAGCAATTTACGTGATCCAATCTTTCAACATTTACCACAGGAAGCCAAACATGCCCGGGCACGTGCGAAAGACGCTTTAAAAATGTCGTATTCGAGCGAACAATTATGCCTTTAGTTAGTATCTCGCTTCTACGTCCAGAGGGGTATATTGTTTACATCAATGAGAGGAAAAGTAACCTCCGTCTTGGCGTTAATGTTAAACATGGCAGACATTTAAACAAGAGCTTCGAGAAATGGTACCGGAAGCGCCATCTGCTCTCGTGCCGGTGAAAACTGCGGTGCCGGTGAAGAGCTTTGAGGAACTGGGTCTGAATTAGTTCGGGATTGGGATGAATCGAACGCGCCAGAGCAACGGCCGTGCAACTTCCGGTTGAATCGGATGCGCCAGTTCTTGCGCTGCTGAACTAGTTCAGCCAGTTCAGGCGAAACGAACAGACCTTCTTTGTTCGTTAAACGTACTGCATTTTTCCTCTTCTTTCAGATTAATAATGGGCTGCGCAAAAGCAAGTCCGCGTACGTCTTTGAAGTTAAAGAGCAAGGTAAAAAAGAAACCGGGAGTCGACTCCTGCTGGCACGTAGCCGCACTGGGATTCCTGACAACGTTCTTCATCACGATCACCGTCTCCAACTCGTCTTTCTTCTACCTGGGTTTCATACAAGAGTACGGCGTCACCCGAGAGGCCGCTACGTGGCCCAGCAGCGTCATATGGGTGTTGTCTCACTTGTCCGGTACGTTGGCTGCCGAGGACTTTTTCAGGTCACTAAGCAAAGAAAAATGACCGTGCAGACGTATGAGGTAAATGCGATTTCACCGGAATATTTTAAAGCCGCCTGACTGTAAATTTAATATGGCGTTTTTATAAAGCAATAAATCTATATTAAGGGAACCTCAATGCCAAAATTTTATACGTCTGTCCGTCCGTGCATCTTTCGCTATATTTAGCGGGGAAATTGATGTCGCCCGACCTAATTCCTGATTCCGTTTACTTGCTAAATTTAGTTCGAAAATTGGTGTCATTTGATCTGACATTACATGACACATAAATCAACTAAAGTTTCCCGTTCAAGATAGCTGGAAAATTGACGTCACGTTAGTTTCCCTAGCGTCATCTATACACCAACTCAAGTTTCCACTCAATATGGCGGGGAAATTGATGTCACGTGGCCTGACGTTACAAGACCTTACAAGACCTTATTCTAAATCTCCACCAGATTGTGGAGATTTAGAATAAGACAACCGACTGCGGCGGTGTCTAGGCTCGAACTGTTGTGCGTGTCGCACAGACCTCGCGTGCCCCCCTTTAAGCCCCCTTTATTATCTTCAGTTCCCCACGCATTCGTCCACCATGCAACATTTCAACCTTTCTGCTCCAGTCGCTATAGGCTTCTTGCACTGACGTCACATCGCACACTTTTGAACACCAAGTAAGAGGAGGAGAGGGAAGCTGCTTTTGTAAGAATTTTGAGTGACAGGTTAATCTTCTATAATCTTCTGGGGGGAGAATAGCGACGCCTGTACAAATCCGGGAGGTACAAAGGAGGGTCCTGATACGAGGGGAGCTCCTTCTTCCCCTCTTCTTTGGAGGGCAACGGAAGTGACGTCCTGTGCAAGGAGCCTATATTACAGTGACGCCAAATACCTCACTAGGGGGAATGCATCCTACTCCGCTCATTTGCATTAGAGGGCGTGCCTGCTACGCCAATATTCCCCCTCGTGGTTTGAAAGTCGAGCCAAGTCGGACATTGGTGTACGAATGCGCGCCTTCCGAGTCGCTCTGCTCGGGCGATCGTAACAAGGAGCCGATCGCCGATGTGCCAGTAGGTTGGACGGTTGCAAGAACCGCGGATCGTAGGAAAAGGAAAAGTCCTTGCTTCGTTTTCCTCGGGTCCCACGCATGTGAGTAGACGCCATTTATGATATCCCGTTCCTGTGCTCAATTGATGTCTTTCAACTAAAGGATGTTGTATATCGTTTCAGCCGCTTGGACTGTGCAGTTCGCTGCAGGCGTGCAGATTTTACGCCGTTTCCAAAAAGCGTGGGCTGGATCAAACTGAGCCGCATTTTTTGATAAACAAACGTGTGTGCTCCGATCACTTTCAAGAGGACGACTTCAGCAACTCCTATTTGAAGAGTCAGGAGTGAGTAATTTCGAGATAATATTGAAGTGTATGTGTGCTCAAACATTTTTTTTTGTCACGTATATCTAGGGAGACTATCAGAGATTGAAAGAATCTAAAGCGCGAGCTCTCTTTCTTTAGATGGCTTAGTACTTCCTCGTTCTCCATAGGCTATGTTCCTACAATATCGCTAATACAACTAGAGCCCTACATGTCCACGGAATACCCGCGGATCATCCGCGGATATCCGCAGTGAACTGGCGGATGCGGATAAAAATAGAGAAATGTTTGGCGAATTGCGATCAGATGCAGATGCCAGGGGCTGCGGATGCAGATCAGATATGGTTATCAGTGGATGCGAATTTACACATTTTTGCCGAGACGGCCCATAAACGTGTGCGACCGCAGAGTGTAGAGTGAATAAGCGAGTGGCACTATTATGTGCACCATCGAATGTATTGCAGGAGCAAGCTAGTAGATAAAAGGGGCCAGTCGGAGAAACAATCGTTTTTTACATCCAGAAATATTCCATTATCACCAAACATCGTTTTAAAACTTTCTATCTCGCTAAAAATGCTGTCCCTAGAAAATGTAAAACGTGCAGTAGCATCCGTCGTCCAGGGAAAGCCTATTCTTATTGGGCAGGAGAAGAACGAAAAGCGTTCTTTATAGAAAGAAAAAGTACAAGACACAAGATATTAGAAGCCTGCAAATGGCTTCTTCGTTTACAAGTATATCGAGAAGTCTGAATTCAATCCTCAGGAGTGGTGCAACTTGAGCCAACACAAGTTTCAGCACCGCATTCTTGTAGCGCAGTTTGTGCATTGCACCCCATCATCTGCACTAACGAAGAGACTTATAATGCAATTAAATGCGAAGGCGCAAGCGAGCTGGACAAGAGAGGCTTCTCATTATAGGGTATTAATTTAAGAGAGGCAAACTTGTCCGAATCTATTCATGTTGACGATATTCTGTTTCTTCTACGCAGCAACCTCGACAAATGAAACGTTGCGTGAGCGTGTTTTCTTTGCTTTTGCTTTTTTCTCGATATAGTTGGCACTGGGTTGTTTTTTTAGGTATATGGTTCCGAGCATGCAGTTCAGGATTCGTGTTTAAAACTGAAACCGATGGGAGGTGTCATCAATATTGAATATTGTAATATTTTCTTAGTGGTGTACTCGCGCCTTATTAGGCATACACGAGTAATTTGCTGCGATGAGTGAGCGCCTGCCCCCCCCCCCCCCCCCCCGGCCCATCTCTTTATTGTTTGGCCTAAATAAAATCATAGAATGTTATTAATTTGTCCTCTGTTAATTTTCATGCTTATAAAATATTCATCTGCTTGAATTGCGTTCTACAAAGCAAACAGGAAAATAACTATATTCTTCTGTACCCCCAAGACGCATATTTGCGTGTAACTGTAACTGACCCACAAGACGATCTTATAACTGCGATCATCTTTCCAGCGATGCGAAGTGTCTCTGAAAGGATGACCGCTTATTTTATAAATACGATAGAACAGAGTACGATCAAATGTATTTAACCGCCCTATTGAAAATTCTCATTTGTATGAGAAATGTCTATGTCCAATAAACTCATATGGATCATACAAGATATATAAGAACATATAAGAACCGTATAAGAACCATATAAGAACTATATAAGAACAATATAAGATATATGAGAACATACAAGCACCATATAAGAAAATAGTGGGAAGTTTCTTATAAGTTTCTTATGGGGTTCTTATATATCTTATATAATTCTTATATAGTTCTCATATAATTCTTATATGGTTCTTATATGTTCTTATATGTTCTTATATATCTTGTATGATTCATATGCGTTTATTGTACAGAAAAAATTTCTCATACAGATGATTTTTTTTACTAGGGCGTATTCTGACACAGGGCTCCTTTTTTTTACAAAGGTAAGCAGACGGTTTATAGTATACCATCCATGTGTTTTTTTTTATTATTTTTAATTTATGCTTGATTTTATAATCAAAAATGAATGTGCCGATTAAGGGTCGGATAGGGTTCCGAATTTTATGAATGCGGATACAAAGTCTGCATGTGCGGATCGGATGCGGATACAATTATTAAAGAACATGGCGGATGTGGTTCGGATACGGATAGGAAGACTGCGGATACGGATCAGATTTGGATGATCAAACTGTTATTCGCGCAGGGCTCTACTAATAGAATCGTTCGGACTAGTTCAAAGTGTCCAGTTTTTCAAAATAGTTCTTTCTGCTGGCGAGCAGCTTTTCACGTCTTAAAAGTTTATAGATGCAGAGCTCTCGGTATGAAAACATGCTTGGAGCTCGACGAACCCATTAGGAAACAAAATAACACGTTTTCAAGCAGGATGCTTGTGTTGGCATTGGTGGTGGGAACTCTCTCACAACCAGTACCTTACGATACCATGATATTTAAAAATAGTGTATTGTACACCACAGGTTGAAGCAAAAAATCATGCCATCAAGGAGCTCGGCCAACGCATCTGAAAAACAGGGCACCACTATAAGCAGGAATCACAAGAACGCCGCCTGTCGTCAAAGAAGTTAGCAAAGAATTAAGCATGTGAAGATTGAGTTGGCTGAGGAATAATGCATTGTCAGTGTTTGTATGATACTGTCCATTTTTATTTAGCGGGTGTCCCAAAATAAAGCTGGAGATACGTAATAAAATGGTCTGCAAACATAAGCGACCTGAGATATAAAGCATGACTGTTTCTCGAATACGTGATTTACTGGTCACATTCGCGTAATCAAATTCTAAGTCTCGACTCTGATTAGAATACTAAATAAAAATACTATGTCACAAGACATTCTTGCAACTCGTTTTTTTATCGTTTTTCGAGTTGAGACTTAAAACGTTAATGCGCTAACGTGACCAGTCCGGGACGTAGTTGAAGAAATATGCGTTTTAAACGCGAAGTCACTGATTATACTTTGTCCATTTTAATTCAATCTATTTTGGGGACACTGGTGAAATGATTTCTGACACCTATCACGTCTTTCTGAAGATGCTTGTACTGCGAAAAAAAAAATACTATTGGACTATTACATTTTTAAAGTTGCAAAACTCATCATTGTCTACGGGTTACTTTGCGTGTTCATAAAGGCCCCGTAGGTTACATTACATTTTGGGGTTTAATGTGTCCACAAATTTCTAAGTTTTATAATATCTCATCAACTTTTGCTATTTTATTTAAACAGTTGTGTATTAAGACGCTTTAAATGATATCATTTCCCAAATATCCTTTCGCTCTAAAAGTGTTTAGGGAACAAGTTACGACACATGTTGACCAAATACTTGCATCGGTCGAACGACCTGTTGCTCGCCCTTTGCCAACGGCGAATGCCTAAGAACCGCGACCTCCATTTCGATAGGTGGCGCCTCCCACCACTCCCAATTCGATGCGGAAAAGCCCAAGGTTGCTGATCATCTAGTCATTCAAATTCCACCAAAACTGTCCGAGCCGAGGCCATTGTGTCATCGGGGAGTAGAATGTACTCTCCCTAGTAAAGTATTTGCTGACGCCACTCGGAATCTTGACCTATGTAAGTCGGCCTCTGTTTTCTGCCACCTGTCGAGAAATTCGTT